CCTGACGTTCCACCCCTCGCCCTCCCTGATAACCCTCCCCAGCTTCCCCCCTCCCGTTCCATGGGACGCAGAGGGACATACTGTTGCGATGCGCCCGCCTTAGAGGCGCACGTCTGAACCGAGCATGTAGTCCAAACGTGTTCTAGCATATCGTTACCCAGGTGGCATGGGCCAGCAAGCGCCCACCACCGAGCATGCACTGTAAGATTTCTGAGCGCGCGCGTCGCCCCTGGAGTGCCGATGCACGCCCAGTGCAAGCGTGTCCGGGTGATTCCAGCTCCTCCACCCTCCCACCACCACGGCGGGGCTTGCTCGTCGCGGCGGCGCGACACGCTGGCTGCACGCAGAGCTCTGACTGCCACCGACCGCCGCTGTGGCTACGACGCCTCCTCCGCGACATCCGCAGGACCGCCGCCTGCTCCTTCTCGTTAGCATCCACGGTTTCCGCTCACTCCCCCTCGGTATCCTCGTCGGTCAGAGCGTGAACCCCGGAATTTTTCAAGGCGAAACCCAGAACCCAGAACGAGGCGAAACCCGGAATCGGCCCAGCCGAAACCCGGAACCAAGAACCGAAACCCAGAATCTCCAAGGAGCAAACCCAGAACCGACGGCATGCGAAACCCGAAACGAGTAGAGAAGTGAAGACCAAGAATCCTGAAAGCTAAAAACCCTCGAATCCGAACCCTCTGGCAAACCCGCACACCACCCAAAAAAAACAACAAAACTACACCCCGTCCTGGCGAGAATTTTCCCAACGCCACTGGGGTCCGTCGACTGAAGAACCACGCCGTCAGATCTCTACGCGCACGCGTTGTCCTTCCAGAACATCCTTCGTTTACGAATCTTGCAACGGCAAACATCACGAATGAACAGATGCCCAACGCCGAAACAGAGACGCACTAAGATCCGGAATAGCAGCAGATCCCGAGATGACCGGCGCGAGACGAAGCAAACGTCGCGCAGACTTTGCGACCACCACTCGCGACTCCCACCACTTCCTCACGAAAACACCATTTGCTCATCTCTTCCTCCCCCCAATCCCAATCTAACCTCCTCCAGCTCCACCTCGGTCGTCGGCCCACGTCCCTGTTTCCCCACACCCCTCTATCCCAACGCCGCTCCCACTTTCGCGTCCTCCTCGCATCCATTCACGTGACCACACACCAAAACACTTTCAAAGCCACACACACACACAAACCATCCACATGACTCGGGTTGAAAACCAAAGCCGCGCTGAGATTTCAATTTTAGGGCAGACGCGCCCGTCCGCGAATACAGCGGGCGACGCGACGACGGCGACGGCGACGTCGACGACGAGGAGAACAGCGCGAACGAACGACAACGACAACAACGAAACCGCCGACGGCAGCCGACGGCTCGCGACCTCCGAATAACAAACAGCATCCCCGACGACGACGACGACGACGCAAGCCGCAAGCCACCCCAATTAGTTCCAACCCTCGCGACTCGAGTTCATTACCAAAGCCAACCCATAATTTCACATCCACGGTGAACGCGCCCGTACGCGAGTAGAGCGCTGACAATGACAGCGACGACGACGACAGGGACGGAAGCTACAGCGAAAACAACATCGACGACAACGAGGACAACAAGAACAACCGACGGCTGGCGACCAAGAGAAAGCAAACGAACATCGACGACAACGCCGGCGCAATCCGACCTAATTTTGCCGTCACCGTGCCTCGGGCTGACGCCAAAACCACTCCGATATTTCAATTTGAAAGCAGACGCGCCCGTCCGCGAATGCAGTTGATGACGCGGCGATGGCGGCGGCGACGTCGACGGCGAATAAGAGAACGCAAACAACCGACAACCGCGACAACAAACGCAACGTCGACAACCGACGGGTCGCGCCCCACGGAAAACAAACGACCATCGACGACGACGACGACGACGACGACGACGACGACAACGACGCAAGCCGCCCCAATTCGTTCACACCATCGTGCTTCGGGTCCATTACGAAAAACAGTCCACGACTTCAAATCCACAGCGAACGCGCCCGTCCGCGAATAGGGTGCCGACAACGACAGAGACGACGACGACAAGATCGACGGCAACAACACCAACAACAAACAAAAACAACAGCAACACAGACAACGCAGACAACAGCAACAACACCAACCAACGACTCAAGACCAAAAGAGGGCAAGCGACCATCGACGACAACCCCGAC